GCTGCCGGAAGGACCGGCGAGCGACACTTGTGCTGTGGTCGCGTGTGAGGCAGGACGCAGGATCCCGTAGTTGCCGAGTGCGAAAGACGTTGAGAGAGAACATCCTCTGTAGCTGCCGCTCTTGGTGAGACGAACGTTAACGCTTATAATTGTCAGCCGCCGGTCTCATTGTCGGGCGGATCGCGCTATTTCAGTTTCGTTGTCCGCGTAAATGTGTGCCCGTGTGTAGAGTCCGCGTGTGCCATCCGCCCGGCATAGAGTTGCGCGTATCGAGTAGAGAATTATGCGCTCGCCTTGCCACAGCCGGGTCATTTGTGCGTTATTTATATGTTATTTTGTGTTTCTTGCGCGTTATTGAGTGTTCGAATCATTGCGTGTTCGCGTGCCGAGTGTCGGCAGTACTTAGAGTTATCGCGACGCCACGTGGCGTGTGATCCGTCGTACGCCGTGCGAGGCGTACTCGCGTGCAGCGACAAGAGATTTTCGCGGATTTAAAGTAGCGTAAGAACGAAGCTCGTACACCCGTCATCTCCGGGAGCGTTTCCGGACGTGCGAATTGCGACCTCGGCGATACCGCCGACGGCTGCCGCGGCGTTAGTCGCGGCCGAACGAATCACGTGTAAATTCCAGCACACGCAAATATATTCTTTAACCATTGTTAATGTTACAGAAATTTCGAGTGTTTTATCTCGCCCTTGCTCTTCCACATTCCTCCGCACCCTACGAACCGCCCCTCTACCGCGTTCTAGATTTCAATTCCGCGTGATAATTCGAAGGGTGGCACGCCCGCTCGTGCCTGGCGCCCAACTTCGCGTTTTTTGGATGTTGTGCAATTGCGAGTTACGGTAATCGTTGTCTTTAGCCGGATCTTGTAGTCCGACACTTGAGAAAGTGCGGTCACAATGCATATATAGTATCATGTAGTACTTGGCCAGGCCACTAGAGGCGTGGAGATCGTTTCTTGTTCCCATCGTCTAACACGGTACTTGCGCTTTTCCTAGTATATATTCTGTGGGATCTCGTTCCCCGGAGGAGTGCCGTGCGTTTATGTTGGTAGCGGATGGATGTTCCCGTTAGCTCGTCCCAGGAGTGCGGCCGAGAACTCTCGACGGAGGCTCAGCAAGCTGCGACCCCCCGGTTTTGCGGCTCCTCAGGTCGGTGCGGTTCGGGAATTTCGGGGTGGCCGAGAATTTTCGGCGGAGGCCCAGCAAGCTGCGACCCCAGGAGATGGATACCTTGGCGAGGATTCGGGTGTTCGCCAAGTTCTCCGGATTGTGTCTTCTCCTCAGCGTTTTTGGGCTTTTATAGCTCCCAGTCGCTGAGTTCGAGCCCGTTCGGGGCCGTTCGGCTAGTTCCGGCGCTACTGGTTAGGCGGGAGCGGCGACGCGGCGCCCTGTGGCGCCGCCGAGCGGTTTTCGTACGGGCGGCGCTGGCGGGCGCTGCGCAGGCGCCCGCGGCGGTCCTTGCTGACGTCACAAGTTCGAACGGCTCAGCCGTTCGCGCGATTTCTTTGGCGTAATTGTTGGCGCTGAGCGCCCTGCGTCCGACCGGTGGTTGTCAGAGACGATTTGAGGGGATCGTCACAATATGTATGTATACACATTATTATACTTACATGCTGTATACTGATGTCAAAAGATATAACTGATTAATGATAACTAATATAACTGTTTAACTAATATAACTGATATAACTGATTAACTGATTAATTGTCATTTCTTTTTTCTTATTTTCCGAAGTGAAATCCGGATAATACGTATAGCATGTAACAATTTTGGGTCACTATGGTTATATTGGTTATCGTCGGTGTGTCACTTGACAACGCTCGCTTGGCGAGAGTTGGGCGGCTTCGGAAAAAAAATAAACAACTACAGAAATTTGTTGCTACCAAGAAACAGAAATGCTATGTAACGAGATTTTAGGAAATCTTTATTCCAAATAAAATGTTTAAATATCGAAGTGTTGAGCGTGTCCGAAAATATCGGGCATTAAAGAAAATGCGAACTGTTTCTCCTGAAAGTAATAGTGAACCCGAAAACATACGTATGTATATAATTAATATACCTATTAATATATCAAATATGCCAGAGCAGAAATTCTTGAAGGGTCCTGTTTGGGTTCTTATTAGAATGCCCTAATATCCGATCAGGTGTTCAGAAATAGATAAAAGGTGTGTCTCAAGGATCGATTTCCTTTTGGACATCTTTCAAGCCTTTGTAAAAAATTTTGTCAATTATTGCATGATTACAAGCGAATGTCAGCACATTAACGAATAAGCACGTTAATGAATAAAAATTTGGTTTAAACGACATTATACGAAGTTAGCAACGTTATCGAAATGCATTTATTTAATTCACTAGGTATTGTTTTATACAACTTCATTTGTGTCATCACAGTGAAAAAAGTGTCTCGCAAAATGACATCACGTAAGTAATAAATTCTAACAGATATATTTGACATACAATGTCTTTTTACTTTAATAGAGATATTAATAAAAGTATTACATTCATTTTTATAGAAGAACTTTTTTCAGAAGAAGAGGAGAATACAATGGAGATCAAGGATGTGCCACCGCTGCAACATGCGGTGCAACTGTTGCAGCAGCAACAAATAAATAAAAAAAAAGAGTTACTACAGTTGCACACAGCTGTGCATTTGCAACAGCAACAATTACAAAAGTTGCAACAGCAACTGTTGCAAATGCAACGCGAACAGACACGGAACCAGCCGCGGAACGAGCCGCGGAACGAACCGCAGAATCAGCCAGCTAGCAACCAGCAGCCGCTCGAGCAACAGCAGCAGCAACATACTGCATACAATATGTACTTATATCATTTTTAGAACTGTTATAAACAGTAAATATTTCAATGCTGTTTCAGTGATAATATACTGATTCAAACAGTAAATGAAAATGGATTAAAATTTTAAATCATGGATTAAAATATTACTATATTTACTATATTTTACAATATTTTATAATATTGTTCAAATTCTTTTTGTTTCAGAAGTTTGACGTGGTCGAGGACGCGGAAGGTCTAGAGCACGGTGGTATGCCCAACGAGGCCGCGGAATGGATGGAAAAAGACAATATCCCATAATATATCAGTATAATATATCAGTCTAAGTCCGCGTCTAAGTCCGCGTCATCCCGTATGTACGAACAAGCCGACGAGAGGAGATTGTTTCCTGGACGACGGACTATCGGCTGTCAAACGGACGCCATTAGAGAGAGAGAGCTGAGCTGTCAGTGCGAACGGACGTGCTCTGACCTACTCTGTGTTTCTTGTATTACATGCGTTGTTGTGTTCATTAAAGAGTTTATTCATTTTGTAAGCGAGTCCCCTTATTTCCGCGAAAGCGTCGGAACGCGAACGCGAACGCAAACGCGAGTGCGCGAGAACGACTCCCGGGCGTAACAGTATTATGCACTCATACTGATTTATTATGGAATACACACGCACGAATGCACGTTATATGAGAGGTGTATAGTCGATGGGGATAGTACTTGTAGACTACAATAAGCACGAAGGCATTGTAATTATTTGGAATAAAAATTTCATAAAATCTCGTCACACACAGCATTTCTGTTCCCTGGTAGCAACGAATTTCTGTAGTTGTAATAAAAAAAGTGCTGAATAATAAATAATATAAAACTAGATATACCGTACTTTTTAATTGTGTCTATTTTTGTCTTTACGTAAATGATTGATAAAATTAATATTTATATAATTATAATTAATGTTGTGATATGGGCTATTCCACGAACATCAGGTATTCCTGATCTAATTTCTGCTCGGGTATCTATATATATTATTATTTTAAATATATCTATTTTATTTTAAGTATAACGATAATACACTAGTTCAGCTAAAATGAACTGACCTATTTGTACATTACTCGTTTAAAGAATTATAAAAAGGAGATTGCAAATTAATTAAATTTCATATTTCACAGAACATAATAATAACGTACGTGCTTTCTCGGTAGAAAGGTCTCATCAATATGATGATGAATCTTCGATCCCTCTTGTTTTAACATCTTCCAGTGATAACATGAGTGACAAGAATTTGAATACTTCAAGGAATGCAGAAAATTTGTTACTGACAAATTCATCAGACATCACAGATAATCAAGGTTGGATAATAACTAATTAATTAATTATTAACCTTCAAATGGCACACTTCGTTTGAGCACCCACTAATAGAATGATGGTGCGAATTTGGATATGATATCTTAAATTGTACATTTTTCCTAAAAGTGAAAACAGAAAAGTTTTGAAAACCATACTTTTTGGGGGTAAAATTTTATTAAAAATCTAACGGTATTATTCAATTTAATGAAAAAACTATTTATCAATCGAAAATTAATTACAAATGAGTAACCGTTTTGAAAAATGTCACTTTTTCGAAGAAAAACTGCCATTTTTTGTTATTTCATGAAATAAAGTGAATCTTGCGTGATTCTTTAGTTAAAATGATGTACTTTAATATAAAATTATTGTTGCAGAAATAGAAAGTAAACTATTTTTTTACATAGCCAGAAGTTGGGATATTTTCTGTTCGTTTAATAGTAATTTGAATTTTTTAAATAAATTTTTCTAAAAATAATTTTAATAAAAATTAGGTATTTTAAGAACAAATCTTGTCAATTTATAAATGAATTATTAATAAAAACCGTTTACATAAATACTGATGTCTCTGTGCAAATGCCAGCAATTCGAAAATTTTCGCGGTACGAATTCGCACTCATGTACCATTTAAAGGTTAACCATTAACTTAGCGATTAACTTTAACTTAATTGTTACTTAGTTTAAAAAAAATTAAAATACCCAACCTTGCAGATAATGACGATGCACCAGCGATTTTATTTGAACGCGATTTACACGATGAATTATTGCATGGAAATATTAACACAAAAATTGCTACATGGGCCCTTTGGAATATTACATCGTTAACACATAAGTGTATAGATGAGCTATTACTAAT